AAAACAGAGGTGCACAGTATTTTAAAACCACATGTTTATTGAGTGTAAAACAAAAAAAAAAACTGTTTCTGATTCACACAGACAGTAGAGTTGCCACCCTGCACCCTGATGTAGTCAGATCTCAGGAGCTCAACAGGACTTAAACGAAGACGAAACTGCTGCTACAATTGTCAGTGGACCAGTAGGGGGAAGTCCACCAAGGTGACCTGGGACACTTGTTGTAGGAGACCAGCTCGTGTGCCCACCGTGCAGACGCTCTTCCTTGGGTGGATCACTCTAACTTTGGGTGTGTCCAGGACAGTGTCACTCCTCCCTTGTGGGTGTGTCCGAAACAGAAACGCCCCCCCACCATGGGGGCGTGTCTGATACAGAGCCACTCCCATCGTGGGGGTGTGTCCGATACAGAGCCACTCCCACCACGGGGGCGTGCCTGATACAGAGCCACTCCCATCGTGGGGGTGTGTCTGATACAGAGTCACTGCCAACATGGGACTCTCTGTTGTCTCTCCCCCCTCCCCGTCCCTGCGGCGCCACTGATCCGCTCGGATCGGCGCCCCCACGCTCACTCCCGGAAGGTCTGCACCCAGGCCAGCGTGCGGCACCGGCTCTCCTCCCAGGAGTACAGGGGCTGGTAGCCGAAGTGGCGGCGGGCCTTGTCGGTGCTCACGGTGAAGGTGGTGCTGGCCACGGCCAGCGTGTAGCGGTTCAGCTGGGGCGAGTAGTTGCACAGCGGCCTGAGCAGCGTGTGCAGCAGGTCGTTGGTCATGGCCGCGGCCCACAGAAGCCACATGGGGATGCGCACCTCGCGGAAGCCGAAACCCGACAGGAACTGCATGTTGAAGTCCACAAAACTCTTGTAAGGAGACTCGTCATAGCAGAAGTACACCTGCCCTCCCAGCAGTAGGGGGCGCTCCTGAAGGGACCTGCAGGCCAGCAGGTGCATCCAGGCTACATTCCCTGAGGCACAGAGATACAGGAGACAAACTGTGAGACGGAGGTGATGTTCAGGTGTGGAGTGAGGAGAGAGTGAGACGGAGGTGATGTTCAGGTATGAGGTGAGAAGACAGTGAGATGTAGGTGATGTTCACGTGTGGGGTAAGGAAAGTGAAACAGAGGTGATTTTGAGGTGTGGTGTGAATGAGGATCAGTGTGTGTACCTGCATAGACACGGCCCTGTTCAATGTTGTTGGTAATGGCACGCAATATCCAGCTCCCAGTCTTCATGCCCCTTTTGTAGAAATCCTTCATCACCTGGTGGTTCTCCCCATAGATACCAGTGGGGCGCAAGGCACAAGTGTACAGGACCTTCTCCCCGCTGATCTGAAACAACATCACACATTGTGTACTGTGGTTACAGTACAGACTGGGGCAGAAGGTACAGTCCCTAAGTGCCAGTCTGCAGCAGTGAGGGCTCTGTGCCCACAGGACAGACTGGGGCAGGAGGTACAGTCCCTAAGTGCCAGTCTGCAGCAGTGAGGGCTCTGTGCCCACAGGACAGACTGGGGCAGGAGGTACAGTCCCTCAGTGCCAGTCTGCAG